ATAACACCCCTATGGAATAGAGGAAAGGAAGAGCGAAATAGTTTAATTTTTTATGTGGAGAGTATAATCTAAGTTAGGATAGGGAGTTCAATTTATGATAATTATTGTTAGTTTTTTTCTTTTGGTTTCAACTTCAAATCAGCTTGGCATCGATTTCTGTTCTTTACCTGTAAAAAATGAGTAGTATACGACTTTCTTTGATCATTTGAATGTTGGTTGGGTTGATTGTTGCTACTTGATACGGGTGGTTTTCCCTTTTCGTAACAAACTTAAAACGCAAATTCACATTCAGCTTAATTCCAGGTCGAACTTTGTGGACACGCAACTTTAGCTGCATCCCACTTTCTTTTCACGTACGGATTCGTGAAATCAAATGCGATCGAGTTCTCAACCCTTTCGGGTATTTTGACAGCCAAAAGGGTACCCGATACAAGAAAGGAGTCTGACTCTTTGAATGGAAACTCACCCGATCACAGCTTTCTTATCGAACTTGATTTTCCGGCGCTATCCATAACAGAATACACTGGTTCTGTGGATGTTTTATCCATTTCTAAAAGCTTGAGTGGTGCCCCTGTGAAAGAAATCAAGAACACAACTGGAGATGACCTTCTTGTGCGTATGCTAGCAAAATATATATATATATATATATATATATATATATATATAATTGTTGCTCGACAATTGATACTTCATGTTATGCTCGGAAACGTGCATTTAGGGCGCCAAGAATTGCTAATAGCTGTGTTTCGAATAAATTACATTGATTCAATCTTAAGCAGCAATTATCTTATGAAATAACTATTATACTATCTATGGTAATGTTTGGTAAGTATATAAGCTAGCTCATAACTTATTTTAATTGATTAGCTTATAAGCGTTATGTATTCAAATAAGTTTGGTTTCGTAGGACGAACTTTTTTTAAAAACTCGAGTTTATCTCATAAACTTCATTTGGGTAGCTTTTCAAATAAGCCCATTGAAATTTTATTTCAGCTAGCTTATTAGCTAATTTACCATACATTTTTATCATATAAGCTAGTTTTCAGCCATAAGTCATATGTTATCAGCTATAAACTCGAAATTCATTTAAAAAGCTATAAGCTAGTTTATTAGCTCAATTAGGTTTACCAAACATAGCCTTTCTATTTTGTTAAAGATAGCCCCACTCGGGAGATATATGTTTTGCTAATAGTGAATGTGTATATGTATTTGCTGAAAAAATCGAGATAAGTTTGTTGCTCTGGTATGAGTTGGCCAGGTCGTACTAGCATCTGGGGAGGCTGTTGTAGAAGCACAACCCATTTTGGATGAGATACAAAAGTATCCCGGGAGAGGAATGATCATTACTGGACTTGCTCCAACTGGCTCGGGATTTGATTTTTTTAGTCGCTTTTTCTGCCCGAATTTCGGGATAAATGAGGTAATACGTTGGACTTCAATTATTAGCCAAAAAAAAATAATAATAATAATAATAATAATAAAAAAAAATCATCAATTGACTATTTTCCCTTTTTTTTTCCAGGATCCTGTATGCGGAAGTGCTCACTGTGCATTAGCAGCTTACTGGAGCAACAGGCTCGGAAAATGTGATTTAATCGCATATCAAGTAAAAAAAAAGAATAATTCTGTTTTTGTGTAAAATTGTCTCGTGATATTATTTACGAACGTGCTAATTTTGCGTTCGTTTTGAATCAGGCGTCGCCAAGGAGTGGCGTGCTAAATATACATTTTGACGAGAAGAAACAGAGAGTGTTGCTTCGTGGGAAGGCCGTTGCTGTAATGGAAGGTACTCTTTTGGTATGAATTTTGAAAGAAAATTTTCAACTTTTTAAATGTTTACCTGACATTTGAATTATACAGTGCAATTTATTGCAATGTAAACCAATATTCTATTTCCCATGCTTACCAAATACTGATTACAGTCTATGAATACCATTGTGTAAAATATGTGTTTTCAGTACAGTAATGCAAGTTCAATGTTGAAGTACATTATCGTTTTTTGGCATAACACGGTCTTGGAAAAAGGTCGTGTGAGAAACAAAAAATAGGCAAAAATACACCCAAAAATAGAGAATGTGAAGATGTTTTTCCAGAATTTCCTCACAACTTTACTTATTTATCAAAATTTTCCATTTTTTTTGCCTTTCTCATGAGACCCATTGTGAAAAAAATGCCATTTAAGTTGACAAAAGTGGCATGCACATAGATGTTAAAGATGATATAATCCTTGTCAAAAAAAAAATGGAAAACGGGTGCGGTCCCACTAACATTAAGCGCACCAAAAGCGGAGAAAGCCCATATGAAGTCCAAGTGGGGTTCCATCCCAAAACCAATTGGTGGAAGGAGGAGTAGTCCATTAGACTTATAAGGTGGGTCTATTTTCCATGTATGAACAATGTGGGACAACTCACAAGTGATATTATAACAATAAATATAGCTAATGAAGTATGTACCTTGGTAAAATACGTGCACTATCAATTGTGGTTTGGATTATCGTCAGATTGTTGGGATTTGAGAATGATATTTTGTGTTCCATTTCATATTTTGTTTTATTGAATGAAATGACATGTGTATAGAATAATGTTATATTTGTATACGTATCATCTATCAAATGAAATAAAATATGAAATGAGACAAAGTAAATCTTGAAATTCTATCTTAGACCTAACAACCACCAAATGTACTAATGTAGACCTAACGAAATGGAAGCTATCTTATCCCTTGTTAGTCACCTAACAACATCCGAAGGCCTAACGAAATTCAACACCAAGTGAAGCAAAAGTTTTTATTCCGTGCGAGACAAACTTAACAGCATCCAAACATAAACCTAACAGTTAGAAGCTATATTTTTCAAAAAAGATGGGAAATACTACAGTTCCGTTACGGAACCATTCCGTCGAGATTTGAAACCGTTAGATCATCATGTAACTGTCATGGATAGTTGATTTAACGGTTACAAATCCTGACGAAATTATTCCGCAACGAGACCGTAAAATCTCTCATAGCAGACCTAACAACATCCAAACATAGACCTAACAGCTACAAACTATATTTTATCAAAAGATATATATACTACAAAAAAATAGAGTTCTAGTGAAAAAGTTTTTTGTCACTATATTTACAATTGTTGTCATTGACTCATTATATCTACTGTCAGTATATCTACAATTGTTGTCACTATATCTACAATTATTGTCACTATATCTACAACTGTTGTAGATATAGTGACAGTATATATAGTGGCAACATAGTGACAAAAATTTTTTTCACTAGAACTCTATTTTCTTGTAGTATATCACTCTAAGAAATAATATATTTTATCAAAAGGTATATATTTCGATGAAGTGTCACTCTAAGAAATAATATAAACAAATGTACAAAATTTCATAGAAGTCGGTGTTCGAATCCAGCATGTGCATAGAGACGCCAACTTTGCAGTAGATCATATGGCGGGGCTTGCTTCCTCGTCTCCATTAGGCTTGAGCTGGGTTTTGTCTTCTCCCCCGAGTCTCGGAGCTTGGCTCGATCATGATGTTCCAGGAGTATCTCATCCACGTCGAGTTCTAGCTTAGCGTGTTTAGGTCTATGGCCTACTTCCTTTGTATTGAAAAAAAAAAAATCGAATTGGCCCATATAAGGCCCATACAATGCCCATACAATATTACCGTCTATAGATCTTCAAAAATTCAGCACGTGGAACTTTTCTTGCTAAAAAGTAAAACCCTCCCGCTTTTCAGAAGGGTCTCTCTTTTTGCTCTTGCTCGTTCAAATATCAAAACCCTAATTACCCGTTCAATTTCAATCGCGACAATGAA